GGTGCAGGACTTGTGCCAGCTCAGGCTGTGCTTTTGGACAGTGGGAGGTCACCTGTGGGTTCAGTCCATCAGAAGATGCAGCCAGTGAAAACATAAACCAGCTTTGCCGTGTTGAATGTGCTAAAGGGGTTGGGAGGGCAGGAGGAACCGTGCATGGGGAGAGATGTGGGAATGGCAGGGGGGTTCTGCTGAGGTGGGAAGTGTCTGCCCATGGACAGGGAGGAGTGGGAGCTGGGGCCAAACGGGGGACTGGGGCTTGAGAGGGGGGACAAGAGCTCAGTATAGAAGGCTGCCCTGAAAAGTCAGGCCTAAGGAGAGGGACTAAGGCTTGGGTGCCAGACCTGCGCCACAGGAATCTGGGACGTGCCCCTTGCTGTGTCTCTGCCCTGCTGTGGGAGAGGAGCTGAGTGGGGGACTGAGGGGGAGTGCCAGGGAGCCCCAGTAACAGAGCTGTCTGCTTCCCCAGGCTCTGACAGGTACCTGGGCTCCCGGGACAGCTCCCGGCTCGGCAGCCGTGACCCCTCGTCCTGGACGGTGGAGGAGGTGATGCAGTTCATCCGCGAGTCAGACCCACAGCTGGGCCCCCACGCCGACCTCTTCCGAAAGCACGTGAGTGCCACGGCTCCTCCGTGTGTTTGGGGCTGTGGTACGGCTGGGAGGGGGCAAATCCCACGAGAGTCAGAACACAGCAGCACTTCAGAGCAGGTGTGGAGGTCCCAGTTGTGGGTTTCTCTGGGTCTGGATTGAAGGCACCTCAGGTCCCATCCACAACATGCTAAAAATCCCAAAACCTAAATTTCCCACCTAAGTGATACACCTACACTACTCTCTATAATCTATTTCATACTTTTGTTGGTTCTAGTCTATCTTGAAGTTTAGGAAACTTTTTCCATGAATGAGGGTCAAAGTCAGTGCTTCCCTGGGGGTCAGGGCACCGCAGAGCAGACAGGGAAATATTCCCAGTGCTCTGAGTTTCCACACAGATGGAGTTTTGTGCTTAATAAAAAGATCCTCATAAATCCTGCTCATGCCCTGTCTGATCTTGGATCCTCCTCAGAACCCCTTGGGGGCAGCCTGGGTGCATACAGAGCCTCTGCAGTGAGTCCCAGTGCTGAAAACACAAACTCTGCTCCTCCTGAAGTCTAATACTCACCTCGTGGCAAATTTCTCCTGGCAAGAAGCACATTCCAAGTGGCATTCAGAGAGTGCATTGCTGCTCAGCTCCTGTAACAGGGAGTCTCCTAAGGCTCTGGTCCCTGTGCACATCTGTAAGTGTGAAACAGCTGCAGACACAACATGGAGTTTGTAGCATTCCAGCTACAAGAGAGGTTTGGCAGCTGTGTGTCCTGAGCCCTGCAAGAGCTGTGTTCCCTCTGCCTTGTGATAAAGTCCATGTTCTGGGGGTGCTCATGAAGAGCAAACACCCAGCACTGTGTCCTGCTCTGGGCTGGGCTGACCCAACACTTCTTTTTTTAATTTTTTCTAATTTAGAAATACCAGTAATTGAGATATGTTTGTTTTAATTATGAAAAGCTGCCAAGAGACAGAAGTGCCCTGGATTGTCAGTCCTGAGGAGAACCTTGCTTTCATCTGTGGAAGGGAAAAACAGATCAAACCTGGCGCTGGAGATCCTTGGAGATCTCACCAACCTGAAAGCAACTGAGCATTGACATAGGACAGGATTTTTTGTTGCTTGAGGTTGTAACTTCTATTTTTCACTTAAAAGCCAATTAATGTTTTCTTCATGGAAAACTGTCCAGTGCAAAGCTCTGGACCCAGCCTCGACTAGGTCATGGACAGGAGTGCTGCAAGAGACTGGGAGACTTCCACTTGCAAATGCCAAGTGCAAAGCTGTTTCCTGGTTATTCTAAGCTCCATGATCCATTCCCTCCTTACTCTCAGGAGGGACACATCTGGCTCTGCTGTAAAGCATCAGATGCTTTGAAAGCTGCTGTGTTGGAATCAGCCCCAGGGGGGATGAGGAGCTCCACCACTCTCTGCCAGTGGCTGGGAGTGTGCTGTGAAGCTCCAGAAATAGAACCACAGAATCATTCAGGTTAGAAAAGCCCTCTGAGGTCACACACTCCAACATTGCCCCAGCACTGCCGAGGCCACCACTGAACCATTTTCCCAAGTGCCACATCCACATGTTTTTTTGAACACTTCAGGGATGGTGATTTCAGCCTGTGCCAGTGCCTAACCACCCTTTCAGGGAAGAAATTTCTCCTAATATCCAGTCACAGAGCACAGGCTCTTTGGGCTTCAGGATCTGTTCCCTCACCTCCATCTCCAGCCATGACATCAGGGCTGTGTGTGTCTCAGCAGGGCTGTCACCATCAGCACATGCTCTGCCAGATTTCTCCTGTCCTGGAGTGAGCCATTGCTCCCCTGCATTGCCACTGCATCTGTCATTCCCCTGGCAGGGAAACCTCCCTTTTCCTTCCTCCTCTCCCTTCAGGATGTGCTGGTCCTCTGGAATGGCTCCTGGATGTTGATCACTCAGCGGAATTCCCATCACACACACGGGCCCAGGGCTGCAGCAGGGTGGATGTGGGACTACCTGTGCTGTTCCTACCGGGGTCTCCATTCTGGGGTCTCCATACTGGGATGTCCATACTGGAATGTCCCTCTGGGATGCTGCTGAGCAGGGCTCTCTGACCCAGCCCTGCTGTTGCATTTTGGGCCTGGCCTGGCCCAGGCAGGGCCTGGGTCACCCCATCACAAGCACTGTGGTTGATCCCTGCAGGAGATCGACGGGAAAGCCCTGCTCTTGCTGCGGAGCGACATGATGATGAAGTACATGGGGCTGAAGCTGGGGCCAGCCCTGAAGCTCACTTACCACATCGACAAGCTAAAGCAAGGCAAGTTCTGAGAGGACTCCTGGCAGGATGGATCCTGGAAGCTCCGCTCCCGGCCGCCCCACCCGCGCTCACCCGGCACAGGTTCGCATGCACACACCCCCTTGGCCGCCGCAGACGGACACTGCCGAGCCCGGCCGGGCCCTCGGGGCCCCGCTGCCCCGCCCAGGCCCGGCAGCGCTCCGGAGGAGCCCGGCACAGCTGGCCTTTGCACCAGACTCCAGCTGTGGGCGTTGGAAGCGGAGGCTCTCTTCCCTGCTGCCCAGCCAGCACTTCTCCGTGAGCTCCCGGTCCTGCTTTCCTGGGATGGAGCAGCTCCAGGCAGTGTCCCTGGGGACCGGGTGTTTGCCTCAGCTCCTCCCTGGGCCTGCTGGGGCAGCCCCTGGCACGGAGCCTGCCCAGCCTCAAGGGGCTCGGTGCCCGCAGCCTGCCCTCAGCCCCTGGCACCACAGCTCAGAGCCGTGACCAGCCAGCCCTGGCTCTGCCTGCCCCCAGCTCCTGCTATGGCTCCAGCTGGGCACACCGGGCTGGGAGCCTTTATATTTATTCCAGACTGGGGAGGCCGTGTGGGAGCGTGGAGAGAGCTGGGAGAGCTGAGGAGCAGGGCTGGGCCTGGCGTGCCCCTGGGCTGGTGTTGGAGGCTGCCTGGATGCTGCAGGACTCAGCTGATCCTTCTCGCCTTTTTTTTATTTTCTTTTTAATTTGGAATTTTTTTTTTTACTAAGGAATTGTCTGTTTCAAACGATGAGATGATTTTTCTACCTGTGTTGAACTCGCAACTCTTGGTGGTTTTTAGCCAGAGCTGCTAAGGTTTGTCTTCCCAGGGGCACTCCTGCTCCTCTAGAGTTTTGGTATGTCCCAGCTCAGCGTGTGTGAGGGTTTTGGGTCTGGCCAGAGCACCCCGGGGTGGTGGCCTGTCCCGGCATCGCTCCTCCTCTGAGGGCTTTGCCCTTCCCGAGGCACCTGTTGGTCTCAGGCAGTTTAATGTATTTATTTCTGATGGCACTTGAGTGCTTCCCGTGGTCCCAGACATGTTTCTGCAGCTGCACGAGGAGTGTCAGAGTGGAGCCACCGGCTGTGCCAGCGCAGTGTCCCCTGGACAGCAGCTGCCAGCTCAGGGCTGCCCGGACCCCAGAGCATCACTGGCACCAGCCTGGCCTGAGCTGGGACAGGGCTGATGGGGCCAGCACGGGCTGTCCCCAGTGTGTGCCCACACACACACCTCAGCACGCTTCCTCTGCAGTGACCAAAGGGCTGGGACAGAATCTCCACTCCAAGCACTTCCTTCTCCTGTCCCCAGCTCACCTCTGCATCCCGAGCCGCAGCTCACACCCTCCCCTCAGCCTCGAGGGCCTGGCCAGCAGCAGGACGGGCCCTGTGGTGACCAACCCTCCAGGCTCTTGCACTGAGTCAGGTTTACCCCTAAGGGGCAAAGTTGCAAAAAAAAAAAAAAAAATGTGCACACAACATCAGACAAGGGAGACACTTTCCTTCCTTCCTTTCCCCTCAATCAAGGGCCACACAGGACAGGGAACCGAGGCAGTCCAGCCCCTCAGCACCCCACAGCTGGACAGCAACACCCACCGGCCCAGGCAGTAACACCGAGGGGAGGTGAGCCCTTCCCGCAGGAACAGCCCCTGGAGGAGGAAGGGCTCCCACTGCAGGAGCCCAGGACATGACTCCAACGTGGACAAAAAGGCAGCAAAAGGCTCTGCTTCAAATCCATAAAAAGCACCAGGAGCTGCTGTGTCCCAGGCCAGGGACACAGTTCAAGGCAGCAGTGGAAGTGGTTCAGTGGTTCGCTGTTCTCAGCTCCCCCTTGATGCAAGGGGTCGGAGTTTCCCAGCCCCAGGAGCAGCTCCAGGGCACAGGGAGGGCTCACAGGGGCCCCTGGGTCAGGGCTTCCCTGGCAGCTTTGTTCTCCTGCCCCCCCAGCCTGATCCCAGTTAATCACATCCCTGCAGTGACACCTCAGCCAGAGCTGAGCATGTTCCAGAGTAACACTATTCCAGGAAGATCTTCCTGGTTACAAATTCATAGTGACAGTGAATGAATGCACCAAGAGCACCAGTGCCAAAGGTTTGCAAATGCTACTGAAAAAAAAAAAGACCAAAAATCATCCCCTTCCCCCTTTTTCTGAAAAAAAAAAAAAAAAAAAAAAAACCCAAACCAAACAGGCTGCATGAAGCTGCCTAGAGCCCTCTCTGCAGCGCAGCCCAGCTCAGACACTAAGCCAGCCCCCAAAATCTTGTGCCATCCATAATTTCACCAATAAGTAAAGACTGAGGAGGGAGCAGAGAGCCTGGAGAAAGCAACTCCACTGTCAGTGTCCAAGGCACCCTGATGCCAAGCACTGCCTGCACATGTGCCATGGGGTTCCCCTCAACACAGCAAATCCCAACCCCAGCTTGCTTTGACCTCCAAGCTGGTGCAACTGAAAGAACTGAAGTGTGGAGGGGCCTCTGTGAACTCTCCTCCACAAATAACCAAGATCTATAGAGAAAATAAAGGAAGGACAGAAGAGCTGAGGAAATAAGGGACAGGATCTCAGAATAAAAATTATAAACCCATAAATTAGGAAAGCCCAAAGCTGAGGGTGTTGAAGCTACTGCTGTAAGAACACCTGGAAAACCTAATGGAGACTCCTCTCTGCAGCAAGGACACACCTGGAGAGAGAGAAAAGGAGCGGGAATTACCAACAGGGAAGAGCCACAGGCTGGAACTGCTCAGCACTGAGGCAGAGTCTGACACGTGGGCCCTGGCCAGAGCCCTGTGCCCAGCTCAGGGGTGTCTCAGCTCCACAGGGGCACTGTGGCACCTCCAAAGGCACTGAGGTGCCCCCCTGGACAGGGGCTCCTTCCACACAGAGCCACGACTGAGCCCCTGCCCTGCCCACAGCCAGCACCAAAGCAGCATTTTCACTGTGCTGCAGCCTTAACTAAGAGAGCTGGGCTGACACAAGTCCCAGGACACTGCCACCCTCCCCACAGCTTCCTCATGTGGGGACAGCCTCCAAGCCACCAGACCTGCCACATTAGGGAACACAGGGAATGCTGTCAGTGAGACCAAGGTTCAGAGTATCTTCAGGATCAAAATTTACAGGGAGAATTATTCAGCTGTTGGTGTTGTGGAACAGCCCAACACCCAGCAATCACATCTGGTCCCAATCCTGTCCCAGGGATGTGGAGCACTCCTGTGACAGACTGGGGCTGGCCCTGCTTCACCCCTGCAGGTCACTCTGGAAGGGGGAGGAGGGAGGGGCTGCACCTCTTCAGGGCCCTGGCTCTCAGCAGTGGAGCCCTGCTGCCACCCCACAGGGGTGTGCAGATGCTGCTCAGCTCCTGCAAAACCCCCTCACAAGCCAGCCAGAGCAGGGGCAGGTCTCACATCCAAATCACCCACTGCACAGAGGGAGGATGCAAATGTAAAGTCTGCCTGTTTTGTTGGTGCGGTCTGAGTGCCAGGTTTTAGTGTCTTCTCCTTCCCAGGACTGGGTACAGCCAGTTTTCACATCCCTGTAACACCTGCAGCCCTTAGAGAGCAGAGCTTGAGCTCTAGGCCTGACAGGATCTGCTGTCCCATGAAATGGACACAATGGATAATTCCAAGATGTTCTTTTACTGTGGTGAGGGACTGCAAAATACTGAATTTCCTAAACCCAGGAACCCCTTGTGCAGCTCTGCCCCCATTTCCAGGACTGTGTGCTCCACTGGTGCTTTTATCAAAATCTAACCCCAAATTCCTGTGTGTGTATTTGTATTTTATTGTGTGTCACTCTAAGGGACACCCCATCCCCAGCTGTTACACAGACAGAGGCAGCACCCAGCCCTCAGCACAGCTGGAACACAAGTGTGAGCAGCAGCACACATCATGGTGCCCCAGCTTTCTACCAAATAACGTGGCAGTCAGTTGCCACAAGCAAAGACTGGCCAAGAAATGTTTTCCAAAAGGAAGAGGCTGAGATCATGAAACATTACCAGGAATCAGTCGTGGTTTGCTGAAGGGAACTTCAGCTCTGTTATCTCTAGGTCAGGAGAGCTGCTGCCACTCCGGTCACTGTAGGTGTCCCTGCAGGAGTCAAAGATTTGGGGTTAGGGAGCACAAGTGCTTTAAGGACAGATAATGTGGGACGCTGCAGCACAGGGAAAACTTCAGCTCCTCTGCTGCAAGGAGCCATTTCAAACTGAAATGTGCAAAAGCAGAGTTAAAATATCCCTCCCCCCTTGGAGGCACTGAAGTGAGAGTGCCTCACACATGAAACTCCTCTGGACCACACCTGGCCACTGTGATGTTGACACCAACAGGAATCCCGTGGTGCAGCTGCACTGCAGCTCAGCCCACAAAGCCAACACTCCTTTTGGCAGTGCCTTTGCCTGGGCTTGATACAGGCACTGCTAATTCTCCTCTGCATTTGGTGTGGTTTTTGTTTAGTGCCTGTCAGCACTCAGCAACCCCTCAGTGTGAGGAGAACAGGTCAGTACCAAATGGTTGTTATTTGTTGCACAGTCCTGAGTGCCAAAGGGAATTGCAGACACTGGGAACAGCAGCACCAAGTAACTGCACCATTAAATCCACCCAGAACACCACTTGCTTTGCAAACTGAAACAAAGAAAGCTGAAGTCAGCAGAAAAAAAAAATTATGAGGCTGCAACCACCAGGGCCTGTTCTTTAAACCAGCAACAGGAACAAGTTTCTCATGGACCAGCCTGTAGGTGGGACTTGTCTCAGGAATGTAGGGAAAAGCCCATGAGGTCTGCAGTCACGAAAAAGAGCAGACCCAACCCCCAAAGAGCCTGACTGACAACACAGGGCTGCAGATCTCCTCTCCCTGCAGCCAGGGCCTCTCTGCAGGACTGCTCTGTGGCCCCACAATCAGCCTCAACACACCAGACAGGAGCTTCCAAAAGAAGAGTGGAAAGGAGGGGGGTGCAATACCAAGTTATGCCCAGGAGCTCTGTGCCAAGAGGATGCTCTGGGTTATCCTGCAGGAAGCAGCACTGTCCTGTGACAGCTCTGACTGGGGTGTGTCAGAAACCCACCTGGGGGAGAGCCTGCAGCCCTTCTGCAGGTAGTGGGTGAGTCTCCCTGCAGATGCCAGGAGGAGCCCGAAGTATGGGGGTGATGGCTTGATGGGCCTGGAGAGGAACTCGGGGTGATACTGAACACCAACGAAGAAAGGATGCTCTGAGAACAAACAAAACACTCATGTCAAGTCTCTCAAGCTTGTGGCTGAGCTGCAGGTGAAATCCTGATTATGTTGAAGCCCTGATGATGGGGATGTCCATAAATGAAGAGGGACATGGGATTTTATTTTTACCATCGCTTGAAGGATGGAATTGAGACAGTCTGAATGGGTCCCACATGAAAACTTGCTCCATTCCCTCCAAACACTTTCCCTTGTCCATCCCACACCCACAATGTCCTTTTTGCTTAAGGACTCACCTTCCAGCTCAACCACTTCCATCCGCTCTCCCTCCTCATCCTGCCCCACAAACTTCAGACCTTGCTCTTCAAAACACTTTTTCAGTTCTGGATTGACCTAGAAAATCAGAAGCAAGACAGCCATGATCTCTTGTGTCTGACTTACACAGGAAAGCTCAATACCTACATGAGCATTTTTACCTCAAATCTGTGTCTGTGTCTCTCTTCCAAGAAATCATGATCTCCATACAGCTTCCCTGCAGCAGAAGTAAGATGTTCCTTAGAGCAGTGATCACAGCTTTTAACACATTCACTTGATCAGCATCCTTCAGAATTTGCCACTTCTGGAGGGGATCAAATTCCCTGATCCTCATTCCCCACCAGAAGAGTGGGATCTGCCATTCAGAGATGCTTCAACATCCCCAGGCCTCACTGCCCCAAGCCATTCCCAGGAAACATTTCCAGAAGAGGCAAGAAGGGCCTTACTCATGACTGAATTCTTGGTTTGGAAGAGTGTCCTCCTCTTGCCAAGCCTCATTGTCCCACCCATTTGCCCAGGATTATGTTCTGGCATGTCTATGACCTGTGGAAAGAATTCAGAGGGAGGTGAGAATCAGGGAGGAATAACAATAACAGGCAGACTCTGACACATAAAAGGAAAAAATTCCCACCAACATTCATGCAAAAAACCAAGGCAACCAGCCCAAGGAACACTGTCTTGACAAGGCAGACCAACAGAACTAGGTTAGCTGGCTGAGGTGTTCAGCCCATATGGGAGGCTAGTGGATATTCAGGGAACTTTCACAGAGGAAATGGCCTCAGTCAGAGTTTACACAGATTGCACACACCAATACTGTGCTGTTCACTGAACTGCATGTTAAACCAATTTATGAAAACAAAACCTCCAAATCAGAATTGCTCACTCTTTGATAAATAACATCATAAGCTGTTTTTTCATAAGTTCCTCACCTTGAGTAGCATTTTAAATTCTAGCAGAAGTCAATCATTATGGTGGACTCTGGACCAGAAACCCAGAGCCTTCCACAAATGCTCCAGGAATTCAGGTCTGTCTGGAGCTATCATACAACAGTTCAAGTTGGAAGGGACCTTAAAGCTCATCCCGTGCCACCCCTGCCATGGCAGGGACACCTCCCACTGTCCCAGGCTGCTCCAAGCCCCAGTGTCCAACCTGGCCTTGGACACTCTGAGGGATCCAGGGCCAGCCACAGCTTCTCCTGGCAATCATGCCCAGTGATGTGCAAGAAAGTCTAGTAAGGATATCACAAGTAAATCACCATAAACTCACCACTGGATGAGAAGTTTTGGGGTCAAACTCTGTTGAGTTCGCATCTGCAACGCAAGGTTCAGCAGTCAGGAACACAGAGTGGCTCACACCATGGCATCACCTCCAGGACCTGCCAGGGACAGCTGCTCCTCATCCCCAGCTGTGCTGAGCCCCCCCTCAGGCACACAACACCCCAGGCAGCAGGAACAGGGCTGGCAGCACTGCTCAATATCAGTTTAAGGCTGCAGTCAGGGGATAACCCACCCTCACTCAGGAAAAACACAGCTTCAAATACAGAAATAAAGACAGGGAGGGGGAAAGGAGCAGAATGGTCTGAGGAACTCCTTTTTCCTCGCCTCATTACTGGAGAGAATCAAAATCAGGCTGAGAACTCAATTTAGCACTCTCTGAAGGGAGCTCTGTTAACAGGGACCTGCTCAATCCAAGCAGAGGGGCTCAGAAGGTAACTCCACTCACTGAAGGAGCTGCAACTGCTGGCTGGCTGAATTGCTTTGTGGGCTCCATTCCCACTGGCTGCAGAGGGAATTTGGCACATGTAGGCTGCCAAGGTGTTTCATTCAGGAGCTAAGAACCTCATGTTGAGCAATAGAAAGCTTTCTGTCATTATCAGCATGACTTAATCCATTGATTTTTATTTAAATAGGGTAGGGAAATTGCTCTTTTTACTTTGAATTAGCAAAAGAGATTGGGATTTTTACAGGTCTAGGTAAAAAATTAAACCTATGAAAAGCTTAAAATCACAGGTATCTAAAAAAATCAGTTATTACTCAAGCAACCCAGGAAATGACCAAAGGCAGGAAGAGTTTTGTGCCATTACCTTGCCAACCAAGGACACTGCGAGCAAACTCCACCACTGCCAACTGCATTCCCAGACAGACTCCTGTGGAAGGACAGGCAGGACAGGGATCAGGCCAGGACAAGGACCTCTGAGCCCATGCTGCAAAGCACACACACCCTCACAGAGCATCCCGAGTCAGAGGAAAACCTGGATGAGGCAGATCTTTGACTGGGATTTAGGGGTCTGTAGTCCTGGCAGGCTGTACTTCCCTCCCTTTCCCATCCCCTCTGCTCATACAGCAGTTGAGCCTCTCACCACAGACACTTCACTGAAATGCAGTCATGTATTTTCTGGTGCCAAGATCACCACAGCCTGATCTGAAACATCCCCAGACTGCTATCCCCTCAGTACAGACTCCTTGTCAGCACACCCCAGCCAACTCTGACCACTTCAGAGCTAACCAGGGTGAGGCTGCACTGCCAGCTCAGCTGAGCACAGATCACTGCCTTCCCAGACAACTGCTGCAAATCTGCTCATCCCAGGCACCACTGGAGATCAGGGGAGCTCCTGCTGCAGACCAGTAAGGCTGTCCTTCAGCTTCCTTTATTTCCTCTTATGTTTGAAACATGATTCTCACCTAAAAAGGGTTTTTTCTGTTTTCTTGCCCAGGAAATAGCTTGAATTTTGCCTTCTGTCCCTCGAACACCAAATCCACCAGGAACCAGAACTCCACTGCATGAGGATGAAAAGATTCCATTCAGCATGGCTGCCCCAAACCACACACCCACAGATCACCTGCCTCCCATAAAATCTTGGCCTTGCAAGACCTCTCCCTTGAAAAGGGCTCTGAAGTAGCCACGTGGCAAGGCCTGGCTGCAGCAGTTTCCACATGACTTCACATGAGCTGTCACATAAAGAGGGGGAAACATTTCATAAATGCCAATTTTACCTTCCCAAAGAGAGACCCCAAGTATCTCACAGGTTACCATGCTGAAATGGTTCACGCTGTGGGACTCACACACCCTGCACCAAACATGTTTGCAAACACATCACCCAGCCAGGCCATGCTGAGGAAGCCCCTGGCTACAGCGTGAGGTTGTCCTAACACCAAACTCTGCAGGAGGCTCTTTCTTCTGCTCTCACTCAAATCCTGCTGCCCTGAGAGGTAACAGGCCCCACTTGTTCTTGGTTTTGTGCTAATTCTTGGCACTCCTCTGCATACTAATGCTCTTCCCCCTCTCACACTTTATTTCTGAAGAACTTGGTAGCCCATTTACACATTCCATTCTCACTCTGGCTCTAACAGCCTTCACCAGTACCTCTCCTCTCTCCTGATTTCCTCTGTTTCCACCTGATCATGCAGGTGTGCATATCCTCCTCACCATGATGATTTCCCCCACTGCTGCCTTTCATCACCTCTCTCACTTACCTAACAATTCTCCACTTAACACCTTATCCTAAACGCCCCTGAGAGGTGTCTGGGGCCTTGTCAGAGTGTGCTGAAAACAGGTTTATCAGACATTCTCCAAGGACAGGGCCACAGCAGAACTTACTCAGCACCACAGAGCTTCTGCCACGCCTCGTGGTACCTGACAGGCTCCTCCTGCAGAGTGTCTGGCTCCAAGTCAGCAGAGTCAATGTACTGGGAAGAAATCCAAAAAGAGGATGATGAGATATTGCCACCAGAGTGTGCAGGACCTCCTGAATTCTCAATAAATTAAGACAGCATCATTCCTCCTGGACAGCTCTGGCTTTGTTTCCTAATGGATATTTTATTTTTTTCTGGGCTGATTTCCCATCTGTTAGCCAACAGAACTCCTTTCCTCACCCCCCTGCTCTTGGTGCACAAACAGAACCCATGATTTCTGTGTCCTCCCCTCTCTGCAGCCCTGCTGTGACTTACACCACGTCCCTGAGCCCCAGCCTGTCATGTTCAATGTGAGGTGTTAATGCAGCACAGCAAGGTGGGAACTGTGCAGACACAAACCACCACACAGAGAGGAAAACCCAATTCCTCTCTCATCAAATAAACATCTCCTTCAAGAGGCACTGCAGAAGAAATAGGCTATGGTGAAACACAGGCTGCTGTAATTAAAGGGTGTTATGGCAATGGAAAAAAACCCTGCAATTTTTCCATTTTCTCATCTCCAGCATTCCAGTACCTCTGAACTTCTGGACATTCTGGCAGGCTGGTAACCCTTTAAAAGAACCATTTTGTCCTTCTTTTTTTGTTTGTTTTTCAGAAGTTGCAAAACTACCAATCAGTTCTTTATCTAACTACAGCTACTCAGTTCTTCAGCACAAGATCTCCCTGCACAAGGCTCAGAGCTCACTTCACTTCTGAGCCACTCACACACAGCTGTGCCAGGAAATACCCACAGATGCATGTGCAGGGTTTGCACTTTACCAGTCTTGTTTTGCTTATTTTCACCTCTACTGATTTTGTAAGTTGAAAGGAAACCCTGACCTAGATCAGTACTGTTAAAAAGCAATCACCTATTTCCATGACTCAGTGACATCATGGAACTGCTGGGCATTTAGAAATCTACTGAAATGAAAATAAAATTTCTAGCAACAGGTACGTGTTTCACCTCTTCAGAGCATCCAGCTATGACCAAGGCCCCTGGAAAGCACCTGTGCATCCAAACCAGCATGACAACCTTAATAAAACCTGAGGCAGGAGCATCATAAAACCTGAGTATCACAAGGTTAACAGCAACAAAAAAGATAAAACTACAAAAAAGAATCACTTGCAACAAGTGTCAGAGAAATGAAAGCAGAGCGTGCCCCCCTCCAACCCATCCACCACTGTCACAGCTCAGCACACAGCACTGAGGAGCTTCCATCCACTCCAGCTCACAGGAGGAGAGGCTGGTTTGCTCTGAAGCTGGTCTAGGCCTGACAACAGCTGTTTTAATGCTGTTATAATCCAAACAGCTGTTTTGATGCAAGGATAATTTGGATGTTCATGGGCTCAATCACTTCTCCCTTTCTGTCTATGGGTTTGTGAAAATCTGAATTAGGATGTAAGTGTAGGTGGAAGCAGGATGGGTGCAGTTTTTTCCCCACACACAGACCCACCCCTACCTTAATGTCAAGTTTGTGGTTGATGGCCAGGGCAGAGTGCTCCAGGGCTTTGATGACAGATGCATAGGAGTCAGAAAATTTGGTGTATTTGCCCACCAGTGCAATGGAACATGTTTCAAGCAGACGGTCGTACCTACAGAACACCAAACACACAGGTTATTCCAGCAGTAACAGGAGAGGGATGGCATCACTTCCATTCTGTTCAGCTTTCCAAGGAACAAACAAGCTGTGCTCTCCTGGATGTGTCCAAGAGAGCTGACGTCTTTGCAAGAGTGACCTTTTACAGTAATTATGATTTAGAAACATCAAAGCGAGATCAAAACCAGAACAATGACTGAGGAAAACAGTTGCAAAGCCACACATAAATTAACTCATCTCTCCTGATGAGGAAAAGCCATTCTGAGCAGATCCAAACTGCCTTTTCAGGGAGCTGTACTAGATTCAAAGGCTGCAGTGAACTCCTAGGAGAGGATCAAAGCACAGCTTGGTGGATGTTTGTACTGCACAGCATCTTCCCACGCTGCTGCTGAGCTCCTATCAGCATTTCTGCACTCCTAAGGCTGTGCTGTCTCCACTTTCAGTCCCCAGCACCTGGCAGCACAGGATTCACACAGCATTCCTGGCTACAGCCAAGAGTTTGTTTAAAGGTTCTCTCAAAATTGCTAAATACCTTCAGCCCAGCTGGTGACCAAGGGCTTTTCCCCATCAAAAGGAAATGTTATTGACAGGGCTGGCTTTTGTCAGGCACAGAAATCAAGGAAAGCATCTAGATCTTGAAAATTAATTTCTTACAAGAACAAACATATTTAAGGCTTCAGCTGACATTCAAGCCCTTTCTGAAAAGACTCTATTCACTATTTCCCTGTGAGCATTGAGTCTACTCCTCACAAGAAAAAAGCCCAAGGAGTCTCAGAACAGGTACCAAAGACTTGTCTCACTTGCCTCAGAGCACTCTCAAAGATATTCTTTGACACTCCTGACATCTCCATATAGCTACAAAAGAATTTCAACACTTTGCAATGTTACTGAGAGGTTTTTTCATACAAAGGGAGGGCAGAGCTGTCCAGCTTTTAATAACTTCAAGCTGGGTTTGACTCAGACAGTATACTTCCAACATAAGATAAGGATCTCACTAAGTTTATCTCACAGGATTTTATGGAGAAAGGCTGAGGGAATTGGGGTGGTTCAGCCTGTAGAAGAAAAAGCTCCAGGCAGACTTTATGGCAGCCTTCCAGAAAGAGGATTTATGAGAAATATGGGGAGACAAGACTTTTTAGTAGGGTCTGTTGTGCCTGGACAAGTGGTGATGGTTTTGATCTAAAAGAGGGGAGATTTAGGCTAGATCTAAGGATGAAACTTTGTACAATGAGAGTGGTGAGGCACTGGCACAGGCTGTCTACAGCAGCTGTGGATTCCCCACCCTGGAAACATTCAAAGTTTGGGTGGGGCTCTGAGCAAAAGGCAAAAAACAATGTGAGCATGTAAGAACACACATCACCTCAAACAACCAACAGCCAAGAACAGAAACTAATCCTGAAGTGTGCTGCAGTGTGCCCAGCAGTGCAGCTCACCTGTCAGCCATCTCCTTCCACTTCATGAGCATCCTCCTGGGCTGCCTCTCGATGGGAAGGTCCAGCCTGTGCCTGAAGTAGTCCACAACCCCCTGCTCCTCCAACAGCAGAGGAACCCGGTAGATGGAGGAGACATCATGAACACAAATGACCTGTTCACAAAATAAGGATATCATTAAAACAGCCATCCAGTGCCTGTACAATCATTTTTACTCAGATATCCAGAGTGTTCCTGTCTCTAGCAGAAAACCAAATGACCACCTAAACTTCCAGGCAATAACATTTTGAATATTTTTGAACACATCAATAGTTTAATGCTGGTTTCCTTATGCTTGAAAAAGCCATTCTTCAGCACTTCCAAGGCATTACTGCTCCCTGGAGCCCCTTGGGAAGGGCTAGAACACAGTAACCCAGCAGCAGGACAGTCAGCTGCCCAGCACTTTATGTGAGCAGCACTCAGCAAAGTTCAAAGAACACTCCAGAGACTCCTGTGATACAGAATCCCAAGTGAAGCTACAGTCAAACTGCCACAGGCACAGCTTCCCCTTCCCACCACTGTCCTTCCTAACCAGGGCTCCCAGTCCAATTGAAACCCAGGGAAATCTGTGACCCCAATACAGCAATACACTTTACAGGGTGCCCCTCATCAAATTTAGGATTACACAATCATGAGCAAAGAATTCTTAGATCGATGAGGAAAATCTAAATCAACAGTTTAGTTCACTGAAATGGGAAAAGATGGCTCAGGACAACTGTTACCTGTCTACTAATAATGAACCTGTACTTTAAGGATCCAAGACACACTGGCAAAACTGTTTTAAATCCTCATTTCCACTGACTCAAATGAAAGCAGAGTTCAGTTCTGCACCAGTCAAACCTCCTTGGCTGCACATTTTCCTCTTTTACCCCCAGTGCTGCTCACTTCTCAATCCAAATGCAACAGCAGACAGAGCAACAACTACATTAAACTTCCTGGAAAGGGACAAGAGCCAACTTATTTTGAATTCCTGGCCAACAAGAGGTAGATATTTTACTGATGACACATCAACATTATTGCCAGCAGTGCAATGCTTGAAAATGCAGGACTCAAGTTTGGTCTTGCTATAGAGCAGATTAATAAAAATTACTTGACAGAACCTGGGATTGTGAAGTTATACTCAGTCTTTCACAAAAAGACAACATTTTTCAAGCTGCAGCTGGATTGGAAAGTGGTAAACTCAGCCTACACACTTTTGACTATTTTCCAAGGTCCACCTTAGAATGTGTTACAAGTCTCAGTATAGAAAAAATCATGCAAACATAGAATTTGTGCATATCACAACCTTGAAGTGAAGCACTGCTTCTCCCAAACACCACACACTTCAACCTCTCTGTGAAATTTCTCCTCAAGAATTCTTGGGCAGAAGAATAATATTGTGAAAAGAGCAGAAGCACAGTCATACATCCTTTACAACTATTTTCAGGTAATCTTTTCACCTCTAAACACTGGAAAATCTCATTCTTCTATGTTCACAGAAGGAATGTGGAACTATAATTAAGTTCAAAGCAGTGATTCAGAAATCACCTTGGATACCACAGAATTCTCTAAGCTTACACCAATCACCTTACAAGAAAACCTGGGTGCTGGCACAAAAAGAATTGGTTTAGCAACAGGTCCATGTGTCAGGAAGGGAGGTAAGACAAAGCAGCAAATGAATTATGCAGCTAGCAAAACAGAGCTAGAACTGCTGCACTAGACAAAATTCCCTCCAGCATCTGACAAGCAGCTCCAGTATTCACTGCAAGGAAGCACAGACAGCAATCCTCACCTGTTCTGGTTCAACATGACAGAACATGGAAATCTTTTCTTTTACTGAGGTATCCAGTGGAGTGGAGCACCTGCAAACAATCTAACAGAGCAGCAACATCAGGGTTGTGATGCAAACAGAAACACTCAGGCATTCATAAAACAAACCTCTGAAAAGAGCTGTCTTTGTGCAGCCTCTGTGATTTGAGAAAAAAACCCACAACTCCATTTCTTTTCCTTATTTATTACCACTATACAAGAGCTCTCAAATAAAGCATTACTTAGACAAGACTGCTGCTGCAACATGCCAGATTTTTACACGTAAAGCTGTGCTACACAAAGCTTACCAGATCTGGAGAGAGCCCAAGGCCCCTGAGCTCACGAACACTGTTCTGGGTGGGTTTGGTCTTCTGCTCCCCTGTCGAGCTTGGCTGGTCAGAGAAGAGCAGTGGGTGCATCAGATTGTGATAAGCAGCAATGATTCAGCAGGTTAATCAGGACTCTCAGACATCTGATAAAAACTCTGACTCAATTCTTGGACAATTCACATGAACCTCATGTAGCCCATTTTAACCCCCAGGACTGAGAGCAACAGCAGGAACCCAAGTTCCAATCTGTCCACTGGAGTGCAGGAAGGAGAGGGACACAGAGCCTAAGGTTTATCCACTGCTCTCTCCTAACACCTAATGTTCTGTATTTCTGATTTTTCTCTATAAATCACCTGGCCTGGACAGAAGGGGAAAGGGGGAGAAGAGAACAAAGACTGATCTGCATTCCATAATTATCAATTTGCTCTGCCAAATCCAGTTCTGTCTGACACAAGGAATGCTCATGCTGCATTTCTGCAACTCCCAAGCCTTTATTACACATTTACACCCATTGAAAAGTTCCTGTTTCATTCCTGTACAACTTTTTAAATACATAAGCATATAATCTCTGCATTTCTGCCAGAAGTTTACATATACACAGGAATACAAAAGCACCAGCACTTAGAGATACAGCATTTCAGAAACAGCTATTTAGGAAATTTAGGAAGGCACTGAGGAAGTCTCTGCCCACCAGTAAGTTTTGGGACCTTACCTGGGGAACCAGACTGACATGAATGTTACAGAAATTCTCTCTTTTGGCTTTGAACTGGAACTGGCGCTTTCAGAAACAGCTATTTAGGAAATCTTGCACTGAGGAAGCCTCTGCCCACCAATAAGTTTTGGGACCTTACCTGGGGAACCAGACTGACATGAATGTTACAGAAATTCTCTCTTTTGGCTTTGAACTGGAACTGGCGGAAGGCTTCGATGAAAGGCATGCTCTCGATGTCACCCACGGTGCCCCCGAGCTGGCAACACACAGACACTGGGAGTTACAGTTACTGCCAAAACCTGGTGAAGGTGTACACTAAAGACATGAAAACACACATAACAATCTACTCCAGGTCCTGCTCTACCTTCATCACTTCCCCACCAATCAAAAAGCCACAAGAAAAACAGCTTCCCCTATGGGCAGCACCTCTCCAGAGACATCAGCTTGACCCCTATTTTCTCTTCAGAGAAAAGACTTCGATGTGAAAATTATGATTTATGAACATTAGGTGGCACTGAAAAGCAAAATTTCTGTTAAGTTTTAGGAGCTATATAGAGTGGACACATGCAGGAACAGATGCAAGACTCTAGCTGGAGCCTCCCAGGCCCTGCCAGACAGTGCCTCCTCGGTACTCGAGATCTGGGCTCGTGATCCTGGCACACAAACTGGCACCCAAGCTGCAGGCAGAGCCCAAGCCACCCTGACCTGGGCTCTGTGACAAGCTGCCTCTCCTGTGTTAGCACATCCCAGCAGCCAGCTCAGCAGTGTCAGAGCCCTCACCCTGCTCTGTCTCCTTGTGGCAGCAGAATGTTCCATAAACACCCTGAGAACTGCCTCCGCTGCCTTGTGCCATTCCCTGCTGCATGTCTGTGCTTGAACTGGTCACTTGGAGGAGGAAAGACAACTGTACCTAGAGGGGAATTTACCTCCCCTCCCTCCATCCACCAAGGGAGAAGAGGGCACAGCACAATTAACTCAGACCGGCATATTGAGTTACAAGAGCTAAAAAAATTCATTCTGTAGGTTAATTTGTAGAATATCCTGAGCTGGAAGGGACCCGCTGAGTGCAGCCCCTGGCTCTACACAAACCCCCCAACAACCCCACCCTGGGCATCCCTGGAGCTCTGGCAGCCTCGGGGCCGTGCCCATTCCCTGGGGAGCCTGGGCAGTGCCAGCACCCTCTGGGGGAAGAACCTTGCCCTGATCTCCAGCCCGGATCTCCCCTGACACAGGTCCAGCTGCTCCCTGGGGTCCTGTGGGGCTGTCCCTCATGAGGCAGCTGCAGGCTGCAATCGAAAAGATTAGAGTAAGTGAAGTTAACGCGGGGAATTTTTAGCCCGTTCAATAACATGCAAAGTTGAACATTTCTGTAAAGAAAAATGCAAAATATGCATATAGATCAGTTTACTGCATACAGGAAACAAAACTACCTACTTTTTAAAAGTTACACACCTCAATCACACAAACTTGGGGCTCGATGCCATCTTCATCCACAGGAATCCGTGCCTGCCTCATTACCCATTCCTGTATGGCATCTGTGATGTGGGGAACAACTGGAAAAGAAACCCAAGCAAGGGTTAAAGCCCCCACACATTTCTCCCTCTTAACTCATTAGAGAGCAAATTACTGACAATCGCTAACCAGTGCTTCTCATAGGGCTTGAGCAGGATATTTTGTCTTTAAAGAACTATGCATTTTGAAGTGATTATTCTTGGCTGTTATTTTCAAGGGCCTTGGCAGGAAATTGAACCCTGCCTTAATTTAAACACATGTAAGCAACATTTCCTTTAAGCTGAAAGATTCAAGCACAAACTGTTCTTTGCTCTAAATAGAGAAAGTTACTCTGTTTTTAACTGTCTGTAAAAGCCCTAATGTCAACCAGCTGTGGAGAGTAGTTAAAAAGGGAAGGGACTAACCTGATACTCACAAATCCTTTGGGTTTTCTAATGACATGAGTTAAAAGCATTTACCATTTTAACCAGCTAACAAACAATCCCAAAGTGTATTGGTCTGAAGTCTGTTCACATTTATCACTGGGTACATTAGACAGCTGGACCCAAGTCCAGCACAGTCCAAACACAAGCAGGATGGTGCAGAGGTTCAAGCAAAGACGAAAGCCAAAAGCATCCAGCCAGGACTGAAATACAGAATTCACTTCTAGCAGCCTAGGCCACGACAATCTTTCAGTGAAGAAATTCCCAATATCCAGGAAAGAAGTTTTGCATCACCTTGGACAGTTTTGCCAAGATAATCTCCCTTCCTCTCCTTGTTAATGACATACTGGTAGATCTTCCCCGTGGTCAGGTTGTTGTCTTTGGTGAGTCGGATATCGAGGAAGCGCTCGTAGTTCCCGAGGTCCAGGTCCACCTCCCCTCCATCATCCAGCACAAACACCTCCCCTGCAGGCACAAAACGGGCACGGGTGCTCGTGTCGGGCACGCGAAAGAATCCAGCGTAAGGAAAACTCCTTCCCCGATTGCCACAGCAAGCCGAGGAGTGGCGAACAGAACTAAAAGCCTTTATCACCGAGAGGAGCAGCGCACTGGGACCGAACCCCTCCAGGCAGAGCACATCTGTGCTGCGGGCTCAGCAGCGGGCACAGAGCCCCGTACAAAGGAGACGATTCACGGCAAGCCAAGGCAGCCCCGACACCGAGCCCGCCCCCGCCGCGCTCACCGTGCTCGTACGGGGAGAAGGTGCCGGCGTCGATGTTGATGTAGGGGTCGATCTTGATGGAGGTGACATGCAGCCCGCAGGACTTGAGGATGGTGCCGATGCTGCTGGCGATGATGCCCTTGCCGATACCCGAGATCACGCCGCCCGTGACCAGGATGTACTTCATCTGCCCCGCGCCTGGACGCCACAGACACCGGCACCGCCTCAGCGCGGGCTCCGCGAGGGGAACGCGCCGCGGGCGCCGACATTCCCGAGAGCGCCCCGCAGGCCGTTCCCCGCCCGCCGCTGAGGGCCGGCGCCTGCCCGCTCCTCCCGCCACAGATTCCCGCCACCGCCGCGCGCCGCCCCTGTGGCCCCCGCCGCCAGGCCCGCGCGGTCCCGCTCTGCCGCCCGCCCGCTCTCCCCCCCAGCGCTGCCCGGATGGTCCCGCCCGCCGCTCTCACCTGGGGCCGCCGGGCGCGCGGACAGCGCGCGCGCGGGGGCAGCGGGCGGGAGGTCCGGAGCGCGCGCGGCGCCGCTCCCGGCCGGCTCGGCTGGGAACCGCATGAGGCCCAGCTGCGCTCTGCGCCTGCGCGGGGCGGGGCGGGAAGAGGGCGGGCCCAGAGCATGAGGGTGGGGGCGTGGCCGGAGCCGGGATAGCCCCGCCCTCAGCCCCGCCCCGGCCCCCTCATCGCCTCATGGAGGCGGGAGCGGTCGTGGGGTCGCGGTATGAGCTGGGCAGGAAAAGACATTTACGGTCATCCAGTCCAACCTATGAGCTAACACCTCCTCATCGTGTCCCCAGGTGCCACATCCACTCCTTTCTTGAAGACTTTCAGGCATGGGGCCTCCAAAGCTGCCCTGAGCAGTCTAGGCCAGGACAATCTTTGAGTCAAGAAATTCCCAAAATCCACCCTGAGCCTGCCCTGGCCCAGCCTGAGCCGTTCCCTCTCCTCCTGTCCCTGTTCCCTGGAGCACAGCCCGACCCCCCCGGCTGTCCCCTCCTGTCAGGAGCTGTGCAGAGCCACAAGGTCCCCCCTGATCCCCCTTTTCTCCAGGCTGAACCCCTTCCCAGCTCCCTCAGCTGCGCCTGAGGTGGATTCTGTCACTGTTGGTCTCATTTTCCGCTGTCTGTTGTCCTGCCAGCACATTTCCCCATGGACATGCCCCCTGGGTGTTGATAGCTCTGTGGACAGGGATGTCTCTTTGCCTTCCCGTGGGCTGGGCTGTCCCCTCGCTCCTGGCGCAGGGTGGCCCTGCACAGGGGTGCACAGAAGTGCAGTGGGCCTGCTGCCCTCTTGGAGGAAGCATTTGCTTTCAGAATTACCTGGCCAGGCTGATTTGCTCCTCCAAGAAGGACTCTTCCTGTTTTCTGCTGTCCTACGAGTGGCTCCTAAGTGGGAAATTTAAAAAAAAAAAAAAAAAAAAAAAAAAAAAAAAAAATCCAGCACGTTTTCTGCAGAATGGTGGCCATGGGTCTGGTGGCAGCGAGATGGGTGACAGCAGGCAAGGGCTGTGTGTGCTCAGGCTGTTGCTGTCACTGCCTGGTGGCACACGGAGCCTGAGCTCTCCCAGGACTGCCTTTAGACATCCCAGCATTTCCCATTTCATGAGTGAGGCACAAGACACTACGCTTCAGCTACCAGACAAGTGTCTTGTAGCTGAAGGGAAGTCCATTCTTGTGGAGATGTGTGTAACCTCGATGTGAGCATTAACTTCAGCACACACAAATCCTTTTCTCAGTGCCTCATTAAAGGCCCCAGGGGTTGGACATCCCGTGGTGCTCAGGAGAGAGCTGCACTCAGTGGGAGCTATTGTGAACATTAAATGGTGTGGAATAACAGTGACCCAGAAAAGTCAGATCACAAATATCTCAAGTTATGCAAAATTACATCAGCTTTTCGCAGAAGTGGGTGAAGGTGTATGTGGGTATGTGTGTTTCACCCTTAATTTTGCCCTCAGTAAGTTTTGCCCTCACAGTGCCTTGCTCTCAGCTCTCAGCAAAATACAGACTGAATATTTTCCTTTCAGAAATGTGAAATGAGATGAAATGGATCTGCTCTGTTTATTTAACAGGATTTGATTCACAACAAAACAATTTAACTGGAAAACATTGCTGGGAGGACTGGCATAGCTCTGGGGAATGTTAATGTGTTACTGGGATTATGCAAGGAATGAATAGACTGGAATCCTCCAACACTCACTTGAACTTCCTTGCAGTTTAGGGCCCTATTTGTACAGGGAAAGGGTTATTGTGGTGTTATGTATATAGTATTAATGACAGTGATAATGATAAATTATACAATATGTATGATATATACATGCAGTTATTCCAGTCAGGACATTCACAGCCTCCTCTTATATGGTCCCTCCTGAAGGTGACAGGATGACCTGTTACAACAAGATTTTGAGACTGCAATATCATTTTCATGCAGTGACTCTTTTCTCTGTGACTGGTGAAAGAAGTGACTAAAGATGGCCCTGCACGGGAGTGTTCCTGTGTTCCTGACAGAATATCCAGGAGCTTGCAGAGCCCTGGGTGTCTGCAGTGTGGGCTCGCTGCCACCCCACCACTGGGCAGCACTGCAGAGAAAACACTTTGTCTTTATTGTTACCCGTGCTGCTTATCACCACAGCTGTCAGATGTACATTTAGCAGCTGTCTCACTCATATTGGGTGGGAGTCAGCTCATGTTCTTCTGACTGATGCCCACTCCAAATGCCCTGCACGTGCCTCAGGTGGCAGCTGTGTGGGTGAGGACATCCCTGTCACCATCCCCATGCACCCTGACCCCATCCCTTGTCAGCAGCAAAGGGCTTTGCAGAAGTCTGGTGTCACCAAGGACAGACAGGACACTTGGAATCACAGAATCCCAGAATGGTTTGGACCTTAAAGGTCCTCTTGTTCCACCCCCTGCCATGGGCAGGGACACCTTCCACTACCCCATGTTGATCCAAGCTCTGTCCAGCCTGGTCTTGAACACCCCCAGGTAGAGCATCTCATGTGCTGCTGAAGTGTCCTGGGCATTTCTGTCTCTGACTACCTGTGAAAAGCATCTTGGCTGATTTTTAAGCACAGAATATTGCAGACAGCTAAAAATCAAGGCATGAGGGTGGTTGTCAGCTGCCCTACTCCATATTCCCCCTCTGTGACTGCTGAAGTGGGTGATGAAATAGTTCCTGCTGTGACCCAAATGTCTTCTGAAAGGCTTCTTCAGTGTTTTGGGGTGGAAGTTCTTTCTTAGTAATGCAGGTGTGTACTATCTGAGGTAGGACTGGACTTCCTTCTATAGAGGTGACTGTAAAAATCCCCATTTTTAGTTCTCCTAACCAACTCCCATCAGCACGTAATTCAAAGCCAGGACCCAGTGCCAGTCAGGCCTCAGTGTGTTACTGGGGAAGCTGTTCTGTGTTTGGTTTCCACTGTGTGCTGATCATCAGTTTCACCTCGTGATTAATATAAACTTCACGGGGTGATGTGGAGTCACTGGCAAGTGTCAAGCACTGTCCAGCCCCACTTCCACACAGCAGGATGCTCCCTGTGAGCCCTTCTGTATGGCTCCTTGACGTCTCCATCTGCAGGATTAATCAGGGTTTGTGTAAAATGTTCAAATCCTTTTACTAGTCTACACTTGTGCTCTGAACTTGATCAAGTTTTCATCTAAGTGCAAAGCAAACACATCTGTTACACTGAGCAACCAAAGGATCTTGAATAAGATACAAAATTATGTAGGAGCAAGAGCTGTTACTACATGTACAGTGCTCTGGAGCACAAATCTGATGAGGAGCAGCTGGGGGATGAGTGACAGAACAAGGGGAAAGGGCCTCAAGTTGTGCCAGAGGAGGTTCAGGTTGGATTTTAGGGAACATTTCTTACTGAAAGAGTGATCAGGCATTAGCACAGGATGCCTAGGGCATTAGTGGAGACCCCATCTCCTGGAAGTGTTCGAAAAATGAGTAACCATGCCACTACATGATATGGTTTGTGAACAGGGTGGGATTCAGGCAGAGGTTGCACTTGATGACCTTGAAGGTGGTTTCCATTTTTAGTTGTCCTGTGGTTTTGTGCCTTGTGGCAGATCTTGCCCTGCTTCACTCTGTCTTCTCAGAGATCTCCACTAGATGGTGGAATGGACCAGTAAAAGAGTTTGTGCAGTAACAAAGGGACACGATCAGGCTGTGGTGACACCCGTGGGGATCTCAGAGCTGCTCTCAGGACCAGCTCCTGGAGCACCACACGTGCCCTGCGTGTTGAGGGGCATTTGGCAGCACCCCTCTCCATCAGTCTCTGTGATGCCATCCCAAACCCTCTGAGTCTGAAGAATTGTATCCTTCCACAGGTCTTGATTCTTTCAGAAAGGGGGGGTTCACCTTCAGGCCTCTTCCTCTCCACTTCCTTTTCTCCATGGAGAAGAGCTGCCTTTTCCTAGGGGGCAAGGAGTGAACCCTCTGGTGTGCTGCAGAGCTCATCCATGCTAGGAAGGGAATGTTTTGGCTGGAGGACTGTGAATGAGAATGGGACAGCATGTCACCAAAGAGGTAGGGGTAGGGAGGAAAAGTTCTGCAGGTGCAGAAGATGTGTGTGATGGGAATTAAAGCTCTCAAGTCTGTCTGATGGAGCCAGTGCTGGCCTTGGACAGAGTGCTGAACTGAGACCAGCTCTCAGTCCTCAGCTCTGAGAAGTCATGTCACAGTTCTGTGCCTCACTTTCTCCTGTGTAAGATGAAGTCAAGGATTCTGACCTTTTGGGAACAGCCTTTTGTTTTCTACAATGAACTGGGTGTCAGGGCTCTCTGTTTTCATTACTGACTCTGCTGGTGACTTGTGGGATTGTGCCCTCTGTACCTGGAGTCACAGAGTTGAGGCTTTAGCTCCACTCATGACACTGTCCAGAGCAGGGGGCTGAGCCTGCACTGTCCTGGTTCTCTCATTTCAGTTAGAGCTGCATGTCCTGCAACAGCAAAGGGAGATCTGCCAGAGCCAGCTGCTGCTGAAGGGGTGATGGGTGCTGCTTGGGCTGCTGGCACTGTTTGGCCAGCCTGGTGTAGCCTGCAGGCCTTCATGTCTGCAGAAAGACTCGTGCAGATTTGATGAGTGGAGAAGCTGTAGAAGCAGAATGAGATGTTTTTCTTTAACAAATGAAGTTTCCTTCTCTGAGGGGACTGTGCTGGTGGTGGTTTTGCCAGGAGATAACCTGGTCCAGGGGGAAGTGTCCCTGCCCAGAAGGCTTGGAACAAGATGTCCTTTAAAGTTCCTCCCAACCCAAACCATCCTATGACTCTGTGACACTTTTTTTTTCTGAAGACAGAAACCACACAGACCATCTGAAGCCTAAGGAGTGTCCTCAGTTCCCCCAGCACTGCAGGAGTGCATTTCCAGCTCGTGCATTCTGGAGAGGCCAAGCCAGCTGCCACGAAGTGTGTTACAAAGACATGCAAGGACAAGAGGTAGGATTATCAAGAGCTGCTTCTCTCTACCTGCATGACTGAGCAAAATTTAATTACCTCTGCTCTCAGGAGAGCTGCCTGGCCCTAGTACATGAACCATGAGATTTAAGTTTCTAACGATTTGCAGTGCTGTG